GAAAAATTGTGTTCCTTGATCGCAAAGAACCTCATAGAAGAATCTAGTCAAAATATTTGAGATTAACTATGTTGCATTTAGCTCTATCAGTATGTTTTGGTCCTAAATTCTGGCCAATATCAATGGTAGCTAAAAATAATAAACCATTATGAAATATCTAAAAATTGATTTCCTGAGCAGAACTCTGAAAATTTGATAGGGTTCTGGTCAGGGGACTGGAGTGGGTAAATAGGAAGGGTAAAAAAGAGTAAGGACAGAAGAAAGGGAACTATAATATATTATCTTGTTGGTGCTGAGTGCCAAGGACTTTCCATTCTCCAACTATTTCAGGTGGAATTTTGGGAGGGCATGTGGTAGAGTGTTTTGGCTAGCATGAGTCATTATAACAACACAGAGGTGTGAATTGTGATTGCTAAGGTGAAATGATTCACTTATTCTTTTACTTGGCACTGATTGTTTACATTTTGGCTTAATCACCTATGTCAAAATGTTTAATTTTCTTCAAGTCTAAATTTTAGGGCTCTGTCAAGATTCTTGGTTCTGAACAATATATTCTTTCTATTTTCTATGGGGAAATGAAGGAAAATATAATAAGCATAACAAATCTAAGTCACTATTTAAATATAGCCCAAAGAGTAGCTATTGAACTTATTTACAGGGTGGTTGAGCATATTAAATGAGTTAATTATATAAAATAACTATAACAATGCATGGCAATCAGTCAGCACTTCAAGAATTTAGTTATTGTGATTTTTGTGGTTGTCATTTTTCTTGGGTTTTCTTTCTGGATTTAATGTGTCTTTCAATCACTGACATTTTTATGTATATTAATCTTATCTCAAATGTATCCTCATTGTAAAGCTTTGAGACTATGTTTTAAGTAAGTGACAGATAATAGTTCTTTATGGCAGGTTGCATTTTATAAATCTCATGGCTCTGGTGTGTTGAGAAAAATGATTTAAGGCAGCGGTGGATGAAAAAATCCCTCTTAAGTACTATGTGTTATGAACACATCTGGCTGCAACTCATTTCTCTGATGGCCTCATCTAGTCCCATGTATATGCTGAGGACCCTCAATTTTGTATCCCCAGCCTACACCACATTCCTGAACTCTAGTCATATATTAACTGCCTACTCATTGCCTCTTTTTGGATGTCTAGTAGACCTTGCAAAATCAAACTTAACATATTCATGACTGAACTCCTGATAGCCTTATTTCTCCAAACTATGTCCATTTATTCATTTCCCCATCTCAGGCAATGGCAACTCCATCCTTTGGCTCAGGCCAAAAAGCTTAGGGTCATCTTTGACTCCTCTATTTTTCTCACTCATCCGCCACCCCTCAGAGAATTATTCCAGCTCAATATCAAAATATTTCCAGAATCTGACCATTTCTTACTCCTCTGTTGCTATCACCTTCATCTCTTGCCTTGATTTCTCTAGTAACCTCCAATTTTATGCTTCCCTCTCTATGACATTTTATTAATACAAGGCAGAGTGATCTTTTTATGGTATAAATCTGATCATGTCACTCCTCTTCTGAAAACTCTCCAATGTCTTCCCATTTCATGAGGAATCAAAGCTCTTCCAATAATCTACAAAGCCCTCCATGATCATGAAGACCCTCCTCTCTGACCCCACCACCCTACCCCTCTCAGTCTGATCCAACCACACTGGCTTCCTTGTTTGTTGTAAATAAAGGTTTATTGGAACACAACATACCTGTTCATTTATATTTTGCCTGTGGCTGTGTTCTTGCTACCTCAGCAGAGTGGGATAGTTGTGATCAAGACTCTATGGCCCATGAAACTTAAGCTATATAGTATGTAACCCTTTTGAGAGAAAAGCTTCCTGGTCCCTGTCCTACAAAATCAGCTATGGCTACATTTCACTAAGATTAGCCTTGAGAAAGCAGAAACTGTTGAATATTCTCCACACTGCATTTGGTGCTCAGCTTCTCAGCTCTTTTTGAAGTGTGTGAAGGGACAGAAGCCAGGCTTTCACCAGGGGTCTAAAGAAGCAGAGGGGATGAGCAATGAGCAGTGATTTCGCATTGCCTAGGGTCACCTCTGAATGAGGGAGTCAGAGAGAAGTAGATGACTGATGGGAAGAATATCCAGGCACCAGAGAGAGAGATGTGAGGCAAAACTGCCTCCGGGGGCTTCCCTAGTGGCGCAGTGGTTGAGAGTCCGCCTGCCGATGCAGGGGACACGGGTTCATGCCCCGGTCCGGGAAGATCCCACATGCCGCGGAGCGGCTAGGCCTGTGAGCCATGGCCGCTGAGCCTGCGCGTCCGGAGCCTGTGCTCCGCGACGGGAGAGGCCACAACAGTGAGAGGCCCGCATACAGCAAAAACAAACAAAACAAACAAACAAACAACAACAACAAAAAACTCCCTCCAACAGTTCTCTAGGGTCTTTCCACATTTGCTCTTCCAGAGGACAGAATTTTGCCTGCTAGTATCTAGTGATTTGGATTTTGTCCTTAGAGACATGCACAGTGCTCCCATTGACTTCAATGGGAGTCACGGACCATTTGGTCCCTTAGACATCTGCGCTGGCTTCAGGTTATTTCACAAACTCCTAAACAAATCCCAGTAAAGTGCTCTTTAATGGGTAGTTAATTCTGGTGTAAGAGCAGGTGCTGAGCACACCTAAGTCCTTTTTTTTCCTTCAGGTTTAGTAAGTTTTCTTTTTATGACTTGATAATTACTGTAACCAAAACCCTGAGTCAAGCAGTATTAAACCCACTCATAGTCAAAAGATGTCTTCTTCTATTGATCTCAGTTGACCTGTTTACTCTCTGGGTTCCAATTTAATGGCTCAATTGATTATTCATTTACATTTTTAATGTCTTTGGGAGTAAAATCATTTTAACATGAATCGTCTCTAACTTAATGGGCAAAATACAGACTCATTTGGATTTTCAATTTCAGCAAGTATATATTGAACAACTGAGTTCAGGTGAACTTAACAAGGATGAAAGGAGATTTCAGTTTCTTGTAAAAGGTAATAGAAATGATAGTTTGAATTTCCTCTTATGCAAAATGGCTGTCAACTATGGTTACTCACTTAAAATCAAAAGGGTGGTAAAGACATCAAGTTTTATGTTATCCTTTTGCAAATTATAATTTTTCTAAATACAATTATGCTCACACCTTTAGTTGAACTCTTTCTTAAATTAAATCCAGATGCCTCAATATTATTCATTGATTTGTTTTCCTTTTAGATGGCCTGGCATTGCTGGAAATGGTAGAAATAGTGAGAGAAAATTATGCTATAGAGTGTACTACATAATGAGAAATAGTATTATTTTATTAACTCGTGGAATTCTCTATTTACAAAGGTAGACAACATGGAAGGCCTTACCATACCTATATATAATATCTATATCTTAAGGCTCTTTAAATATACTTATGGAGCTCCTTTGATAATATATTTTCTCCCTTCACAGCAAGCAAGTGAAGCTCTAAAAATATGACTGCCTGTGGCTTATCCTTCCCAGTAGGACTGTTTTGAATATAATATTTATAAATTATATATACAATCACCGACCTTCACTTCTTTCTCAAATGAGATGAGGTATAAGAAAATACATAAATGTATAATTCCAACCACAATAGTCACTTTTATCTGACAGTTTAAAATGGAAGCAGAATTTAGTGCCAAATAGAGGAGGCTCAATATTCATCCTCTGAGGAACAGTAAATGCTAGTGCTTGGTGGAAATGAGTGAAAAAAATGAAATACTATTAAAAAGTTCAAAAGTGCTTTGCTTTGTTAATTTTCACTGATAATCTTATTAGTCTTATTACCAAATGTGTAGATTAAGGAAAGGAGCTAATTTCAATTCTTGAAGAAAAAATATTCAGAAAGTAAACAGTACTGTGTTAGGTAGCAGATTATAAAAATAAAAAGATAAAATTCCAACTTTTTGGAATTCCTAGTCTCAAAAACATTTAAGCAGATAATTGAAGCATGTGATATAATGCTTATATTTACAACGTGCTACTAACTCCTAATGTCGTCTCAGTGAGCTTTAAAAAGAAATGATATTTGGGCGTGATAATGGAGAATGAGGGAGCTTATCACCTTGGGGGTTATGTGGAGGATTATCCAAAGTGAGGGGCCAGCCTCAGAAAGAAAGAGTAGGGATGGACTCGGGGGTATTTAAGAAGTGATGTAACAGTACAGGGATGTAGAGCAGTTGGTGCCTGGGTTAATGGAGATGAAAATGGTTAGATGGTGAAGAGCTTTAAATTAGAATTGGACTTTCCTATGTGGACAATGAAGAGTCACTGGAAGAATTTAACTGAATAAAAGGGATCTGGAACTCCAACAAACCTCAAAATGTAAACAGGAGGCAAAGGGGGAAGGCGTCAGTGAGAGAAACTTCAAATGGGAGAGAGAGAAATGTCTAGTGAGGTGCTGAGCACCCCATGTCTGTCCTTCATCCTAAAATAAGCAGGCAGAACAAAGCAAGCTTCACTAAGGACTCATTACTGGGGTTCTTAGTCCTTTTCCCATGAAATGGTCAGATTTTATTGATACAACCTCTAACATTATTCCTCTGTGTATGTACTTTAGAAACTTTTCAAGGCATTTATGCAGCTACTTATTGAATTGGAATCATACTTCATGGTCAATTTCAAACTTTCTCTGCATTATTTAAGAATGGAGCCGTGGTCAGTCTTAACAGAGTTGGATACATTATATTACATCTTTAATATTCAGATTAGATTACAACATATATTAATAAGGTGATATTTCTTTTAAAAAAGTGCCTTAAGTTTGATGATGAATGGGTCATCAGAAAGGGTCAACTCACCAAAAGGAAAAGGAATTAGCTACACATGGCATTTCCCAATTAGAATACTCAATTAGCTTCATATAAAAGAACATGTTCATGCACTCTGCCTGATGAGTCAAGGCTTGTAGCAAATTCTGGTTCCCTTTTTCCAGACCAGACATGGCCATGTGAGGGCTTGTGTGAGTCCCATACCTGTGCTGTCTTCATACACCACAGTCACTGTTTTCCAGTTGTAGTAGAGGACCAGATCCAGGACCGCCCTGCTGATAGCCGCATAATCTGGGTAGAGGTTGACGTAAAACAGGTCTTTGTTGTCCACTGAAGGGTGTTTCCAGCGAGTCTGTATATGTGGAACTTCGAGAGCATTGCAAATAGACTGCACAGCACTGACAGAGGAGCTATGGGAAGGGCCAAAGAGAGCAGCCACACCAAGAGCCAGCTGGTCACATGCTGATGTCCACAGACAAGGAGGGGGTGGAGAGGGAAAGCAGGGAAGAGGGGAGAGAAAGAGAGAGTTCTGTGAATTTAATCTTCCCTTTCATGGTTCCTCCTTATTTTCGCTATTGGAAACTATTATCCACTCTCCATCTGTATGCTGAGGAAATATGCTTCATCCAGCTTCCAATATTCCTGAGATACTAAATATTAGAGATGTAAATGGAGAAATGATTAGCAACACATCACAAGGCCAATTCCCTGCAAACAAAAATGAGTTGTTGGTCTCACTTCATTACTTTTTATTTTCTTTTTAATTTGGTCATGCCACGCGGCATGTGGGATCTTAGTTCCCCGACTAGGGATCGAACCCCCAGCCCCTGCATTGGAATTATTGAGTCTTAACCACTGGACTGCCGGGGAGTCCTCACTTCATTACTTTTAATCAGATGGAGTCTAAATCTCTTGCTTGGTGTGGTGTTACCGAGAAGCACTCAGAGCTATTCTTTAAGCCATTTGCCAAGTGAATGTCATGTAAATCAAGTTCTGTCAGCTGGCAATGTGGCAATGAAGGTATTAATGGGTCAGAGAATTCAGAAGACTCTCTGGGTGGCTGCAGAGTACTTTAGTTCCAGTCCTTCCCAAAACTCAGAAAGGAGGTCCAGGATATTGAAAAATTGCTAAAGAATGTTAAGTGATACTGATAGCTAATTAATTATAGAATAATAGATTAGCATAGCTTAAAGGGATCTTAGAAGACATTTTCTCCAACCCACTAATGTCATAGGCAATGAAGTGAGTCAGGGCCACTGGACAATGGCAGAACTGACCAGAGCCCAGGGACCCAGCTCAAGGACAGGCTTCTTTCTATTTCAATATCAGCCAACATGTACATAAAAATTAATTTCTAACATTCATTTTTTTTTGCATTATAAGATTATATACACACATTGAGATAATTTAGAATATTGAAAAGTGTAAGGAAGAAAAAAGGCTCTGAAATTCCATCACTGGGATAATATCTATTCATAGTTTGGTGTTCTAATTTATTAAAAAATTGAACACGATATAGATACAGTTTGATACATTGCTTTCTGTATTTAACACTAAGTTTAATGGTAAAAGCACACCCTTTCCCCTAAGTCATCACAAATTCTGCAAAAGTATATTTTTAGTGTCATAGAATAGCCTAATCCATGAGTATGTCATTACTTATTTAACTAGTCCTATGATACTGAATATTTAAGCTGCTCCTAATTTTTAGTTATTATAAGTAATATTATAAACACTTATCTTAGTTCTTATATTTTTCTCTAAATTTCACATTATTTTCTTTGAGTAGATTGAAATCTGTAATTAAAGGGTATTGATATTTTTAAGTCACTTGATACATATAAACCAAATTTCCTTCCAGAAATGTTGGGACAGATTATCTTCTATAACAATGTAAAATAGTGCCTACTCATTTTATGCTGGCATAAATTTATGCTGGCATTAAATATAAATGTAAAAACATTTCAAATTTACATTTTAATTCTAGTTTAAAGGGATTTGGAACTGCCAAGAAACAATAGTTGAATATTTGAATTAAATAATAGCAAAATATTTAAATGAAATTGTCAATTTTTATCATAACACCATCACACAAATAAAAATAAGTTTAAAATTATATGGCTTTGTCAAAATTATCTGACTTGATTTAGAGAGAAAAATTAATAAGTAATATTTGAGAGCCATATTTCAAATATCTGTGGGACAGCAAATGTTCACAAGGAACTTTCTGACACTGTGCTCTTCGGTACTGAATTATCACATGAGGTATGAAGACATAACTTTCTGTATTAAGAGCTAGAAGTGAAAACTGTCCTCAGAAGCTCATTTTCTGGATGTGCTTTCATTGGTTAGCAAGAAAAAATGAGGGCATGAAAGTATATGAACTATTACTTCATCTAGCGTAGGCAGTGGATTGAGATTCCTGCTAATATTTAGCTCTGGGATGCTAATATTACTTCACAAAAAAGCAATCCTTTTGAATTCTGTTTGCGAGCAAATTACCAGTTTTAAGAAGTTTTGGGGGTGTTTAATTTACAAGTATGACAGGTACTTCAGGTCACAAAAACGCTTTGGATTTTAAATGTGGTTGGCTTTCTGGGGTATTTATTCAACAATGTTTTGTGTGTGTGTGTGTGTGAGAGAGAGAGAGACAGAGAGAGAGAGAGAGACAGAGAGAAACAGAGAGAGAGAAACAGAGACAGAGACACAGAAAGGGAGATATGGAGAGAGGAAGATAAAGATCTAACACATAGAGATAATTTACGTGAAGATGCCTTGTAAACTTTAAAGTGCTGTATAAACATAGCATTTTATTATTTGTCATAGACAACTCTGACCTGTATAGTACCTACAACTCCATCCATCTTTGAAAATAAAACATTCTTATACTAAGATCATGCCATACAGTAAAAAAAAAAAAAAAAAATCATTATACTATTCCATTTTCATCTGTGCTCCCAGGAGAATAAGTTTCACATTTTTTTTGTAAAGGACACTAAGAATCTTGCAGAAGAGTCTACTAGGTGCAATCCAAACTGGGTTAATTCTATGTGGAAACAATCAATATTTAGTTACTTAGAAATCAGCATGAACATGGCATTCATTGTATTCCATTTACTTGTGTGTGTTTGATGGGCAAAGCTTTCCTCTAGGAGAGAAAGAGCCCCTCCTATTCTGGGGTGATGTACCCACACAAACTCCTGTATGGAGGTCCAACAACTCCCTAGTTAGAGGCCAGCCTTCAAGCATGTCAAATGTGGCTTCAAAGAGTCATCTTGGAAGTGTCTGAAGGATGTGTAAACAAGCCCCACCCTTCCAAGAACTCTTTCCATGAGACAAACCTTTCAGCCTGCGTACAAATTAGATTACTTTTTAGGAACTTGTCTTCTGTTCAGATGCAAAAGGGAATCAAATGCGGAGATTGTTCTCCTAGGTTTAATTTTCTTTGACCCCAAGTCCCTTGCTTGCTTGATTGCTTGTACTGTTCCATTAATTTTTTCTTAATTTTTTCCTTTTTTAAAATTGATGTATAATCAACATATAACATTATAACATTTCAGGTGTAAAACATAATGATTCAATGTTTATAATCTTCACATTTCTATGATCTTGTGGAAAGGGGTTAGAAAATTATTTGAGAGGATGGTAGGTAAACCCAGTAGCTCACAACCTGTTAAGATTCAGGTTGTGAATTCTGTGTGTTGTGGGCATTTCCACATGCTAAGTGCATATGACCTTCCACAAAGTTTATTTGACTGCACTGTACAATTTCATGGTGATATCTCAGCCTCAGGAAGGAAAAACAGATCAAGCTTGACATTTTCCATTCACAGCTGAACCAGTTAATCATAGAGTGGAGGGCACTGAAGGCTAAGCTAATCAGAAAGGCCCAGAAAACAGAGCTAGGCAACATCCATTAGGATGGTTCAGATTGTGCTGGACAGTGACATCTTGCACCGATAGTTCCTGCAAACCCATTTGCACAGAGATGTCCACTTTGAAAAAGAGCAGGTAGCAAAAAGAAGTTGACTTGTAGAGCAGACATATCACCCAAAGAAGCTTTTAAAAGTGTGAAAATAGTTACCTCTCCGTGAGGCTTCAAAACTATCAAAAAGGTTAATTCTCTGAATGTCATAGGTTAATGTGGTGTTAGGCATCAGGGTTCGATTTCTGTTAATGCTGGTGACTGCAAACTTGAACGCTAATTCTTCAACATTAACAGGTTCATTTTCCACAGTTTCAAAAATTCCTCCTGCAGAAGCAAAAGAGATGCATGAGAAGCATTAGTTACGTTATTCATGTGCATTTTTTAAAAAGAAGAATATAAATGATACAAACAAAAGACCCAGAAGAATAAAAGCAGGAATGGTCAGAACAGATCCCAAAAGCAGTGTTAAAAGTTAAGTGTATCAGCATGTGTCAGATGCAGATAAAATTCCATACATGTGCTTAAGATTTCAAATCCAATACTGGACTGTGTAATACCTATCAGACAGTGAATGAACTCTAAATATTTACTACCATGTAAAGGATGACTGATAATATGGTGGAGGATGATTTTCTACAGTTTGGACATGAATCACTCTGTGGTTGACCTAAGCACAATTTCAGTTGTATCCTGGTAGGATCATCCTTCCTTAGAATGAAACTCCTGCTATTCAGAAGCAGACATTCTAGACTCCAGAAGCATCATGCAGAGTTGAGTAGAGTCAAAATGAGTCATATAGGCAATTTTTTCAAAATGAAAATATCTCTTCTTCATTGTGGCTCAGAATTCTGGGGTCATATGCTAGAACTTTCCAAAGTGCACGGGCAGATTCAAAAAACTATGTTCTACATTTGTTTTGTTTTGTTTTGAGAAACTGGTCCTGCCCCAAAGCAAACCTGTATCCTGTCTCTGGAGAAATAAATTCCCCCACTCAACAAACACATGCATTAAGCCTCTGATATCTTAAAAATGAGGACCTCATCACAAGCAACAATACAAAGTATCAGCACTTAAAGCCTCATCAGAGAATTCAGCTCTGGCTTTGTTGTTGACAGAGGCAATTTAAGTATTATTAACTGCATATTCTTAATATACTTTAAGAGCTGTCCTGGGATTATCAACAGAAACAGAACATACAGTAGAGGCTCTTAGCTGGCCTCTGCTTAACTTACTCCTTGATTGACCAATAAACCTCATTTTCTTTGAAAAAACATATGAATTGGTGCCCATAGAATGCTGAATACTTATAACTAGTAGATTACTTTCATCTACTATCACCACTGAGTGATTCCTTACCTAAGGCCAGTTGTAGGATTTTAGCAAACTTGTATATGTTACATTGGTTTGTGAGTGCTTCAGGTTTTCCCTCCACTCAAAAAATAAAAAGATAAGGGAGCTTCAAGATGGTGGAAGAGTAAGACGTGGAGATCACCTTCCTCCCCACAAATACATCAGAAATACATCTACATGTGGAACAACTCCTACAGAACACTTACTGAACGCTGGCAGAAGACCTCAGACCTCCTAAAAGGCAAGAAACTCCCCCACGTACCTGGGTAGGGCAAAAAAAAAAAACAGGGACAAAAGAATAGGGACAGGACCTGCGCCTTGGGGAGGGAGCTGTGAAGGAGGAAAGGTTTCCACACACTAGGAAGGCCCTTGGCGGGTGGAGACTGTGGGTGGCAGAGGGGGGAAGCTTCGGAGCCACAGAGGACAGCACAGTAACAGGGGTGCGGAGGGCAAAGCGGACAGATTCACGCACAGAGGATCGCTGCGGAACAGCACTCACCAGCCCGAGAGGCTTGTCTGCTCACCCGCCAGGGCGGGCGGGGGCTGGGAGCTGAGGCTCAGGCTTCGGAGGTCAGACCCCAGGAAGAGGACTGGGGTTGGCAGCGTAAACACAACCTAAAGGGGCCTAGTGCGCCACGGCTAGCCAGGAGGGAGTCTGGGAAAAAGTCTGGACCTGCCAAAGAGGCAAGAAACCTTTTCTTGACTCTTTGTTTCCTGGTGCGCGAGGAGAGGGGATTAAGAGTGCTGCTTAAAGGAGCTCCAGAGACGGGCGCGAGACACGGCTATCAGCACAGACCCCAGAGATGGGCATGAGATGCTAACGCTGCTGCTGCAGCCACCAAGAAGCCTGGGTGCGAGCACAGGTCACTATCCACACCTCCCCTCCTGGGAGCCTGTGCAGCCTGCCACTGCCAGGGTCCCAGGATCCAGGGACAACTTCCCCGGGAGAACGCACGGCACGCCTCAGGCTGGTGCAACGTCACGCCGGCCTCTGCTGCTGCAGGCTCGCCCCGCACTCTGTGCCCCTCCCTCCTCCAGGCCTGAGTGACCCAGAGCCCCCGAATCAGCTGCTCCTTTAACCCCGTCCTGTCTGAGTGAAGATCAGATGCACGCCAGTGACCTACAAGCAGAGGCGGGGCCAAATCCAAAGCTGAACCCCAGGAGATGTGCGAACAAAGAAGAGAAAGGGAAATCTCTCCCAGCAGAATCTGGAGCAGCGGATTAAAGCTCCACAATCAACTTGATGTACCCTGCATCTGTGGAATACCAGAATAGACAATGAATCATCCCAAACTGAGGAGGTGGACTTTGGAAGCAATGATATATATATATATATATATACATATTTCCCTTTTTCTCTTCCTGTGAGTATGTATGTGTATGCTGCTATTTGTAATTTTGTCTGTATAGCTTTGCTTTTACTATTTGGCCTAGGGTTCTGTCTGTCCGTTTTCTTTTTTTTTTTTCTGTATAGTTTTTAGCGATTGTTACCATTGGTGGATTTGTTTTTTGGTTTAGTTGCTCTCTTCTTTATTTCTTTCTTTTTTTTTATTACTTTAAATTTTTTTTAAGAATTATTTTTACTTTAAGAACTTTTTAAAAAAAAATTATCTTCTTTCTTTCTTTCACTGTTATCTCGCTTTTATCTAAGCCATGTGGATGAGAGGCTCTTGGTGCTCTAGCCAAGTGTCAGGGCTTTGCCTCTGAGGTGGGAGAATAAAATTCATGACACTGGTCCACAAGAGACCTCCCATCTCCATGTAATATCAAATGCCAAAAATTTCCCAGAGATCTCCATCTCAATGCCAAAACTCAGCTCCACTCAAAGACCAGCAAGCTCCAGTTGTGGACACCGTATGCCAAACAACTAACAAGAAAGAAGAACAATGCCACCCATTAGCAGAGAGGATGCCTAAAATTATAATAAGGCCACAGACACCCCAAAACACACCACCAGACGTGGACCTTCCCAACAGAAAGACAAGATCCAGCCTCATCCACCAGAACACAGGCACTAGTCCCCACCACCAGGAAGCCTACACAATCCACTGAACCAACCTAAGCCACTGGGACCAGACATCTGAAAAAGAATTCAGAATAATGATAGTAAAGATGATCTAAAATCCTGGAAATAGAATGAAGAAAATACAAGAAACATTTAACAAGGACCTAGAAGAACTAAAGAACAAACAAACAGTATAAACAACACAATAAATGAAATTAAAAATTCTCTAGAAGACATCAGTAGCAGAATAACTGAGGCAGAAGAGATAAGTGACCTGGAAGAAAAAAGGAGAAATAATTACTGCACAGCAGAATAAAGAAAAAAGAATGAAAAGAATTGTGGACAATCTTAGAGATCTCTGGGCCAACATTGAACTCACTAACAATCGAACTATAGGGGTCTCAGAAGAAGAAGAGAAAAAGAAAGGGGCTGAGGAAATATTTGAAGAGATTATAGTTGAAAACTTCCCTAATATGGGAAAGGAAATAGTTAATCAAGTCCAGGAAGGACAGAGAGTCCCATACAGGATAAATCGAAGGAGAAACCCACCAAGACACATATTAATCAAAATATCAAAAACTAAACACAAAGAAAACCTATTAAAAGCAGCAAGGGAAAAACAACAAATAACATACAAGGGAATCCCCATAAGGTTACCAGCTGAACTTTCAGCAGAAATTCTGCAATCCAGAAGGGAGTGGCAGGACATATTTAAAGTGATGAAGGGGAATAACTAACAACCAAGATTACTCTACCCAGCAAGGATCTCATTCAGATGTGACGGAGAAATTAAAACCTTTACAGACAAGCAAAAGCTAAGAGAATTCAGCACCACCAAACGAGCTTTACAACAAATGCTAAAGGAACTTCTCTAGGCTGGAAACACAAGAGAAGGAAAAGACCTACAATAACAAGCTTAAAACAATTAATAAAATGGTAATAGGAACATACATATCAATAATTACCTTAAATGTAAATGGTTAAATGCTCCAAGCAAAAGCCATAGACTTGCTGAATGGATAGAAAAACAGGACCTGTATATATGCTGTCTACAAGAGACACGTCAGATCTAGGAACACATACAGACTGAAAGTGAGGGGATGGAGAAATATATTCCATGCAAATGGAAATCAAATAAAGCGGGAGTAGCAATTCTCATATCAGACAAAATAGACTTTAAAACAAAGACTATTACAACAGACAAAGAAGGACACTACATAATGATCAAGGTATCAATCCAAGAGAATATACAAAATTTTAAATATTTATGTGCCCAACATAGGAGCACCTCAACACATAATGCAAATACAAACAGCCATAAAAGAGGACATCGGCAGTAGCACAATCATAGTAGGGGATTAACACCCCACTTTCACCAATGGACAGATCATCCAAAATGAAAATAAATAAGGACACACAAGCTTTAAATGATACATTAAACAAGATGGACTTAATTGATATTTATAGGACATTCTATCCAAAAACAATAGAATACACATTCTTCTCAAGTGCTCATGGAACATTCTCCAGGATAGATCATATCTTGGGTCACAAACAAAGCCTTGCTAAATTTTAGAAAATTGAAATTATATCAACTATCTTTTCTGACCACAATGCTATGAGACTATATATCAATTACAGGAAAAAATCTGTAAAAAGTAAAAACACATGGAGGCTAAACAATACAATACTTAATAACCAAGACATCCCTGAAGAAATCAAAGAGGAAATGAAAAAAAAATACCTAGAAACAAATGACAATGGAAACATGATGACCCATAACCTCTGGGATGCAGCCAAAGCAGTTCTAGAGGGAAGTTTATAGCAATACAATCCTACCTTAAGAAACAAGAAACATCTCAAATAAACAACCTAACCTTACACCTAAAGCAATTAGAAAAAGAACAACAAAATAACCCCAAAGTTAACAGAAGGAAAGAAAACATAAAGATCAGATCAGAAATAAATG